GCCTGCCATTGCCGTGCTAGCACCCGCGTGCTGGTTGGCGGCGCGAGGATGCCGTCGGCTTCCTTCAGCACGTCGTCGCGTGGACTCCACAGCGCCGGCGCGCCCCGTGGGGCGGCGGTCGAGCAGCTCGGAGGTGCCCCGCGACGGCCAGCGCCGCAGTGGACAGTTTTGGCATGTTGAGGTTCGCTGGGAGGTGCGCGCCAGCGCTGCTACGTCCGCCGCACTTCGGGCAAGTTGCGCTGTCGCAGCAGTGGTGCTATATACCGCTGCCCAGCGAAGGTCGCGGGCGCTCGGTGGAGGAGGATTGGGGAGGCAGGGTGCCTGGGTAATCCGTGACCTCCGGGCTCGACCAGGCCGTGGCTGGGCGGTTGGTTCGACTTCGACGGCGGCGAGCGCGTGTCCTGCCTGTTCTTGCGTGGGTGCGCAGGGACTTGGTGGATCAGATGGGCCGCGGATGCATCCCCGGGCCGATGGCGCCCTTGGTTTTGTGGAGGACGTGCCGGGGTTTCCGTGCCGGGTCGATGTTCGATGATGCGCTGAGTCCTGAGTCGCCGGCAGGGCCGCGCAAGCCCGCTGGCATGTCTCGGGGGCGATGGCGGGCCCGGGCGAGGTCTGGCTGGTTCAGTTGGCGGGCGCGGGCAGGACTTCTCTCGGCCGCGCGACGGCCGCGCCCCAGCGGCCTCGGCGCGGCCTCGTTGTCGACGACGCTTCGGTTTCCAACGACAAAGGCGCGCCTGCCGCAGTCGGGCTAGCCTGTGCAGCTAGAGAAAATCGGTCCCGCAAGAGTGGCTTAGCCCTTGGGCGTCGCCGGCGCAACGATGCCCGCGGCGGCCAGAGGCGCCGCGCTCGGGCTTCCGCCACGCCCGCGTGGTCGGAGGCCCTCGGGGCCTTCCGCGGCAGCCATATGGCCCAGCGTGCTCCGCGCAGCGCAGCTTCGCGTCGTTATGGGCGAGGCGGGGGTGGGGACGCACGCGGCGCCCGCCGCCCTGCTGACGGGCTTGTGGACTTCCTGCGACTGCGTGTCGCTGCGCGCGCCGACCCCCAGGGCAGCGGTCGGCGCGGGGGCGCAGCTGCCCCTCGACCCGCGACTGCCGCGCGACCGCGCGCAAAGGGTCTCCGCGCATATCGGGGTGACGAGGTGGGTGGCTGGATCGCGCCGCGGCGGGGGCGCGGGAAGTTGCGCGCCCGCCCCTCGAGTGACAGCGCGCGCGAGCGCGCGCGATCGCCGAGGGCGCGGCGGCGGCGGCCCAGAATGCGGGATTGGTCGAGCATCGTGGCGGGGCCCCGCCAGGGCCAGGGGGGTATCCTGCGCCTGGGGGGGCAGCCGCTGCATGGCCTCGTCCTCGACGCGGCCTCTGGTCGATGGAGGATCTATACCGCGCGTGGGGGCTCGCGTCGGTGGATTCCGCGGATGCGCGAGCTGTTGGGGCTGGTCAAGGAGCCCCGCGGGTCGTGGAATGATGGCGCCCTCACCTGGTCAGCCCCCGTGCGCCAGGCAAAGGATGGCGCCCGTGCGAATAGCCGGGCGGAGGCGCCGCGCCAGCTGGGCCGTCGTCGCGTCCGCGCCGGCGGTGATCTTGGGCCTGCGCGGCCCGCGCGCGGTAGGTCGTTCTGCGCTGGGCGCGCGGCGCTCATCGTGGACACTGGGGCCGTCTCTCCTCTGCCGAGTCCAGCGCGCTGGGCCTTGCGTAAGACGCGCCCTGGCTCGAGCGGTTCGCCGCCGCCCCCGCCGCCGCCGACTGCTGGGCCCGATTGGCGCGGAGGCGGCGCTGCTGTTGGGCCTGGGCCGCGGCCTCGTCGAACCCGCCCGCCCGGCGGCGCCGCCCGGCTGCTGCGCGCAACGATCGACTAGACGTAAGAGTGACCCCTCGCCGGAGTGACCTTTGGCGCGGACACAGATGGACCCCCCGTGCTGCAGGTGGCTGAAAACGAGGCAGGATCAGCGGCTTGCGCGCCCAGGCATGGCCCCCCCGCGGCCCCCCAAAAGCCGCGCACCAAAGGTCACTCTCACCCAGGGTCACTCTTGCGCGTGGCCGAAACGACGACGGGGCGCGGCAGACGGCGAAGGGCGAGAGCCTCGGGCCCACGGGCCCACAGGCTCAGACGCGGGCCCGGGGCGCGAGGGCGGCGAGGGGCTGCGGAGCGGAGGCGGCCCCGGGCAGATGCTTAATGAGTTGGAGAGATTCGCGAGGGGGGGCCCACGGCCTGGGGCGCGGCCCAGGACGTGGCGCGCGTGGCCCCACGGTGGGCGCCCGCGCGCGATGCGATGCTGGCAAGGCGCGCGCGTCGCGCAGCGCTGTGGGCGGGGGCGGTGGGGCTTCCGCGGCGCGCGCGGGCGCCGCGACGAGGGCGGGGCGCGCTCCTTCGGCCGCGCGCGGGGCCGTGAAGACGCGGTGACCAGAGCGCTTGCTGCGGCGGCGACGGAGGCTGACGATCGGGAAGGGCGCGTCCAATTGGCGATCGAGGTCGATCCATTGTCGCTGGAGCGGCGTCCAGAGAGCGGCCCCTTGCAGGGGTCGCCGTCGCCGCCGGCCGAGATGCTCGCGGACGCGTCGCCATGGGCGGAGACGCCTCAGGCTGGGGCCTCGCGCCCGGCAGTCGCGGCAGGAAGCCGGCGGCCGCGCGGGGGCATTCGCGGCGCCAAGCGGCGCGGACGCTAGTGATACTGCGCGCGGGATCTGGCTGTTGTTCAGCATCTTTTAGCCGCCCCCTTATCCCCGCCCCACCCCCATCCCCATCCCCATCCAGACCCCCGCCATCTCACCATCGCAGTTGAGGATATACCCAGCGAAACCCAAAGGGAACAGTATATGTTCCCATCTTGGGGGGTAAATCGGCCTGCGGGGCCCAGGCCGCGCCCGTGGGGTTCGGGGTCGGTTCAGCGACGCTCACTTATGGCGACGACGTCTGCGGGGGCGAAGCATCTACGAAGTCCTCCGCGTTTTTTCTGGTCGCCCTGGCCAACCGCAGTCTGAATTGCTCCTGAGGCTGCGTGAGCTCTCGTGACCCCGCGCTTCGACGTGGATCTGGTCAGGCGGGCTGCGGCTGTGATGGGCGGGGAGCGTGGGGGGTCGTGTTCGGGGGCGGAGGCGACTCTACGGGGCGGCGATCGCCGTGCTCGAGCGTGGACCACATGGCAAGGCTCTGTGGGCCGATCTGAGCTTCTCGTCGGCCCGCGGCAGACAGTGCCACGGGCGGTCGAAGCGACGGCGTTCCTGCTGCTCGCGACAGATCATGAGACGCTGCTTCGGGCGCGGCGTCGCCGCCTGGCAGCGCCGCGCAGCCGAGACCCTCTCGCAGCGGGCTCGCGAAGCCCGAGACGCTTGCGGGGCGCGGGAGATTCGGTGCGAGCAGGTGGCATCGCGGGCTTCTGACGCGTGGCAACGAGGTGGCGAACGTGACGCCATTGTCTCTTTGGTCCGCCGTCCCGCGCGCGAGGCGCTCTGGCTCCAAAGGGCGTTCGAGTGAGATCTAGGGCAAGGCGGCCGCCCGGTCGGCGCGCGGCGTCGCGGGCGGATCCTCGCTTGTCTTGCCAGGCAAGCTCTGGCCCATGCGATGGCCGGGCCAGCGCCAAAGGCTGGTCCAGCCCCATGGTCCGTTGCATTTGCGTGCAACGCCGTGGATGATCCCGCCCGAAGCCAGCAACCAGGCGGCTGCGGCCAGTGGAGGCATCTTGTGTCCTGTGTCAGCGGCTGCTATCCGGAGTGGCGAATCGCATGACGTTTTGCCACCGCTGCGACAGATTCACTACCCAGGGCCCTTAGCATATGTTGCAGGAGTGTCTTGGTTTTACGAGTCAGTCGGCAGAGATGCTTTACAGATTTCGCACGTGTTTAAATCTTCCGCGCGAGGGCGCCCTAAGGGCCATCCTTCACTCGCGCGTGGGCAGCGAATGAGTGATGTGACCAGCCGCTTGCCGACCTTCACGCCCCAGGGGAGTACTGGCGCAGGTGAGTTTGGTCGGGACTGGGTGAGTGAGGAGGCTCGTGCCTGTCCTAGGGTGCGCCTGCGTCGCTGGTTGTAGTTCGGCGCCTTGACCATGGCCAAAAGGTTCCATAAGGCTCATTCCTTCATTCCCTCCCTCCGTCTTTCCCCCTTGTCCCTCCTCCTTTTTCCCCTATTTCTCCGACTTCCTCCTGCAGGCGCTCTTCTCTACAGATAAACAACATGAATGCGTTTCTCTCTCCCCGGATGTTGTCGGGATGATATCCAGCCCTTTTCCGCGTGTTGTTTTTACGCGCGCGGTGTCAACCTTGATTTCTTTACGTTCTTTTGGCAATCCAATCGTTTTCGGTGTTTCAGAAAAGTGTTGCCGCTGCAGCGTGGCGCGTTGCCCCCGTCGTTCAGAACGGCGCTCTCGCCCTGGCGCGGTCCGCTTTTCTGCATCCGGGTGTTGCTTCATTGTGGTCCTCCTATCACTTCTCATCCTCCGCCTTCCTCTGGTCCTCCCGATCCACACCACAGTCCAGTTTCTGCTGCTGCTGTTCGTCTCGCCCCGGCGCGGGCAACTTTTTTTTCAGTTTGAGTTGTTCATTATCGTCGTCACCCCCATCATGTCCCCTTGTCCTCCGTCCCATGGTCCTCCTTTCCTTCCCGATCCTTCCGCTTAGTTCCTGTTGCTGTGGCTCGGCCTCCTCCTTTTCCTCTCCTTGTTCTTCCTGCTCACCCGCCGCTTCCTCCTCCTCTGCACGCAGCCCCGTTCTTCCGATTCCGAGTAACAGTGTCTGTGTGATTCGCAGGTCGGTTATGATACGCGTCCGCGAATAGAGGAACATTCAGCGCCATAAGATATCATATCAGGCGCGAGCGCAACTAGCTTGCCTCCTCTCCCTCTTTGTCTTCCCCCTCGTCGTCGTCCTTGTCCTCCTCCACCTCCTCCTCCTCCTCCTCCTCTTCCTCCTCCTCATCCTCCTCCTCCTGCGCCTCCTCCTCCTCCTCCTCCGCCAGCTCCTCCTCCCCCACACGCTGTCGGAGTTGTGCGCTGCCAGCTTTCCCCGCAGGAGCCGCGTGCGGCCTGACCCTCGCGATCACCCGCCGACGCGCTTACGGAGGGGGTCGCCAGGAGACGCATAATCCTTCTCCTCCCCCCGTCCCACACGCCCCGAAGAAAATGACGTGGGGGTGCTTTCGGTTAATGTTGAAACGTGCCACGTGGGAGGGAGGAGCACGGAAGGAGGAGGGTTGCAAGGAGGAAGAGGAGGACATCCATTGTTACGAAGATGATGGTGATGGTGATGATGATGTTGTTTTTGTGTTTTGTTGTTGTTGTTGCTGTTGTTGTTGAGAGCCCGTTTCTAAAGAATATTCATTGTGGATCTCCCCCTCCGGTAGCCATTGCACCTTTCCTTTCAATTAAAGTGGTCCTTTCGGAGCTCGCACCCGGTCTTTATCAGGGAAAGTTGGGTGTCATCAGTCTGCGCACTTGGCCCCCGAGTGGCAACAGCATCAGCTCCCCTGATACGTCCTCACAAGAGATTGGGAAATCGCGCTCTTGCGCGGGGCCTCCCCACAATTTATGCAGGAATCGCGCTCGTGCGTGGGACTTCTTCGCAATGTATTCAGACGCCGCGCCCTCGACACTCAGGAAGCATGCTCCCTCTTTGGCCTTTCGCACGATTCACTCGGGAGTCGAGCTATCGCTTGAGACTACGCGTCAGCAACCCCCCTGCTCGACCTGGCCGTCTGGGCTCGCCTCCCGACCCGCCCGCTAGGGTCTACCCGCCCGATCAGCCCGTGTGGTTCTGCCACGTGTTTTCTCCTCCTAGCTCACTCCTGCTAATTTCTCTCGTGCTCCATCCTTTTCCTCCTCCTTCCATCCGTCCTCTCTTCCCCAATTTTAGGGCTGCGCTGAATCCACGTGGCAGGTGAGGAGGATATACCCTCAAGGGGGTATGACCGAAGACGAAGAAGGCGGGTGCAGGGGGTTCGGGATGTACTCGTTGAATGTCACGCGCACGTGCAAGAGCGAACAGCCTTAAAATGATTCGGATTGTTGAATTCTCATTTCTGGAATTGCTGTGGCCTGTGAGGCCGTTTCTATATAGAAGACTTGGATTTGGGTCCTTGGCGTCATAGCGGCCCTTCCGATCACAGCGCCCATCGAACTCGCGGCCGATGGAACCCTCATCGGCCTTGAGCCCAATGCCTATTGGATAATGTCGATGATGGTGGTGATGCTGATAGAGATGATGATGGTGATGATGATGGTGATGGTGATGATGACGATGACGATGACGATGACGATGTCGATGATGATGATGATGATGATGATGATGATGATGACGATGATGATGATGATGATGATGATGCTGCTGCTGCTGATGATGATGATGATGATGATGCAAGTTGATGCTGATTATGGTTTTGATGCTGATGACGATGGTGAGGCTGATGATAGTGATGATGATGATGATGATGATGATGATGATGATGATGATGGTGATGGTGATGGTGATGGTGATGGTGATGGTGATGGTGATGGTGATGGTGATGGTGATGGTGATGGTGATGGTGATGGTGATGGTGATGGTGATGGTGATGGTGATGGTAGTGGTGATGGTGATGGTGATGGTGATGGTGATGGTGATGGTGATGGTGATGGTGATGGTGATGGTGATGGTGATGGTTTTGGTGGTGGTATTGTGATGCTGATGATGCTGATGATGATGAGGAGGAGGAGGAAGAGGAGGAGGAGGAGGAAGTGTGAGTTGGAGAGTGAGAAAAATCGTGGTCCCCTCTGAGCGTCGCCAGCAACGAAGATTTGCGTTCCTCGTGCGCGCGCGGTTCTGCATATCCCAGGTGGCGGTGGCTTCAATCCAGCGGCAGCGGAGGCGAAGTCGAGGAGGGAGGTGGACATGTTCTTTCAGTATCAGAGGAGCATGATCAGGCGCGGCAACAAGATCGTCCGTGACGACATGTACTGGGCGAAGGAGGAGTTGTGAAGACAGGGGGTGGCGAGGGGGGAGGCGGATGGAGAGTATTTGGAGAAGGGGGGGGTGAGGTGGAGGAGGAAGGGGATGAGGAGGAAACAAAAGGAGGAGATGGAGGGAGGAGGGAAGCGGGAGGAGGGTACGGGGGAGGGTGGGTGGAGGGTTGGGAGGAGTTTTCCCATCCAAGCACGGTTAAGGACTGCTCGGGTGTTTTGTCGTCGACTGACTGACGAAAGTTGCCAGGACGGGGTTGTGTCAAGGAAACTGGTTGAGCCACAACCGCAGCCTGCAGGCCGATTCGTCTATGATGCTGAGTGCTGGCCGTGAGGCTGCTTGGACAATGATTGTTCTGATCCCAACATCTCTTGCTGTGAGCTCGAGGGCGACCGCTCATCGAGGATCGATGTGACTGTCATTCCATTGCTTTTTGGCAGTTCGAACGGCCATGCCGCGAGCTCCGCGGGCTGGATGTGACAGTGCCTGCTGGACGTGGGCACCAACCTTGCGATGGGCTACCTTGCCCGGTGCCCGTCGCAGCTGGCTTGCCCGCCGTGCCCGGTCTGCGCGCTTAGCTGCGCGACCGTGTCCTGCCCGGCGGCGCCGCCGTGCCCTGCCTGCCCCCTGGTCGCCGCTCAGGCGGCAGCGCCGGCCGCTGCAGCGTTGGCCGCCGCGTGCCAGGCGGCGCCGCCCGGCGCGGCGGACCCGGCGGGCGCGGAGGCCCCGTGCGTGTGCTGGGGCTGAGCCTGGCTCATCCTCGGGCTGCTCGTCGGGGCGACCCTGACGCTGGGCGCACAGCTGGTCTTCCGCGTTGTGCGCCGGCTCCTCGGCGCAGCGGCCCCTGGCAAAGGCAGCAGCAGGGCTCTCGTCGATTTGGACGGGCTGGAGCCACTCGCCACTCCTTCGACTAAAGCGCAATTGCAGCGGCGGCGCTGACGCTTGATATCCCAAAGCGTCAAATCCTGATATACTTAATTGTTCGATGGCCCGAACGGGTTCAGATGGCACATGGGGGTGCTGATGCTGGCGACGCCCAACCCGTGGATCGCTTGCACGCCAGACATGAGTATCCAGTGCTTGGACGTGACAGCCCACAGGGTGATCCCGCTCACCCGCAGCACGGAGTTCGCGCGACGGGCGCGGGGCGAGGTCTACGCGTTCGACACGATCAGCGCCGAGGAACTGTTTCAGATCCGTCGGGGGGCCAAGGAGTTTTTCGCCGTGTACGGGCTCACTGGGGCCGCCGACGCGCAGCCCGAGGGCGGTCGCTGGCTGATCGCCGACACGTCCCACCCGGGCTTCGGCGACCCGCTGCCCCAGGCCGCTTTGGCCGACCCAGAGTCGGTCGTGGGCTCTTCGAGGTGGAGGCGGCGGTTCGGCAGAACTCGAAGGCGCCGGACTTCTCCAACCTGGAGGGCGTATTCGCCGCGCCCGTGGCGGAGGACGGGCGCGCGCAGCTTCCAGACCTCGCGGAGCGGGTGTCGACGCAGCGCCGCGACGACGCGCAGATCATGAAGCAGGAGCGGCCGTGGAACGAGGAGGTGGACAACTCTTGCAAGGCCGCGAAGGGTGGCATGGGCAAGAACAAGGGCGGCAAGGCTGGCAGGGCCGGGAAAGCCGCCGACTCTGCCGACGGGAGCCATTGGCCCTGGGGCGCCCAGGTCAATGGAGCAGGAACGACGGCGACACCTGCTGCAACAGCGCCATGTGCCTGGGTGCCCCTCTAGTCGCTTTCCTCGGACAGCTGGGCTTCCTGGTGGACTTCGAGGTGGACGGTGGCCTGCTCGCTTGCTCCGGCATGGGCGGGGCTTGGCGGTCGGGCGACGCCGGATATGGCCCCCGACCAGATCCGGCCAGGGATTACCGCGCTATCCAGGGGCGCTGCCACGGCGACCCCTTCCCGGGCCCCTCCCGCTGAACGGGGAGGTGCTCGCGCGCGGCGGCCATGCTGGGCCTGCATCGCGGTCGCGAGTGCGGTGCGTGAGCGAGGCGATTTGGTCTCTGAGCGCCCTCGACGCCCCATCGCGCGCCCTTCGGGCGCATCGGCCAACCTCGGGCCGGCGCCTCTCGGAGGCGCAGCGCTCGATCAGCCGGCGCGTCAGTTGGCACATCGAGAACTGCGGCGACAGGCCCGATGTCCAACCGTCAGCAGCCTACGCCGACGTTAGTGAAGAGCCACGACCTGTACTTCAGCCTGGAATCGGCCGCCCCGGGATTTGCGCGGCCGCCTCGGGCCCGGGGGCCGCCGCTATCTGGGCCAGGCCGACGGCCTCATCTTCAGATCCGAGGCCGAGCTCGACGCCCTGCAGGACCTCGAGCTCGCCCAGCCTTTAACCCCGCACGTGGACCCCGTGCTTAGGCGCGACCGCCGTGCCCGCATCGACTTCGCCGAACGCCTGCACGCTGCCAGGCTGGTCGGCTTCCCGCTCTCCACCCGCGGCCGCGTTGGCGCCTTCTGCGTGGGCGAGAAAAATGGGCCCCTGATGGGCCCCTGAGGCCGGTGCTGGATGGGCGGGGGCCGTCCTCGCTCCACCGCCGGCCGCCGCGCGCTGCCTTGGGCTCGGCCGGGGCGCTCGCTGGCTTGGATCTGCCGGACCAGGCCCTGGCCGCCGAGGGCGCGGGCCCGTCGTCGGCCGATGCGCGCGCCGCGGGCCTCGACCTCAAGGGCGGGTTCTACCGGTTCGCGGACGAGCGCATCGCGGACTGGTTCGGCGTCGACCTCCCCGAGAATATTGCGCCCGAGTTCGGCGATCCCCCCGTCTGCTCGCCGTCGGGCGGCAATCCCGTGAAGGTATCCGGGGGCATCAGGATGCACGCCGTCTTCTGCGGCCACGTGATGGGGCGGTCGCGGCCTTCGTTTTTCTGCCAGGACCTGCTCGAGGAAGCGCAGGGCAAGGGGCTTCTGAGCATCGGCTGCGCTGACGGCGGCCGTCTGGTCAATGGGAGCTGCCCAGCCCCTCGTCTGGCCCCGGGGCGGCATCTGGCGCAGCCCTGCGTCGACAATGCCAACGTGATCGGCTTGAGTTTTGACGACGCTGAGGGCGTACTGCGCGGCGCGCAGCGGGCCTTCGATTTCCTCGGCATCGGCTGCCGTGACCTGGTCGAGTCCACGCAGCCGCGCGCCGCCGTCGGTGTCGTTTTCGATGGTGCGCGGACACTTGGAAAACCGCATTATGATCCCGAGGCCTGCCCTCGCCGCCCTGGACGACGGCCGCCGCTGCATCCCCCGACGCCTGGACGACTGCGCACCCCTCGGCGGGCGTCTGTTGGACGAGCTCCGCGTCGCGCAGGGCCTCGTGCTACTCGCCGATGTCGACCTGGCCACCTCCTGGTCGCGCGTGGTCTTCTGCGGCGACGCCTCGGGCGGCGACGGCCGCTGGCGGCGCGCGGGCGCGCCTTCCACAAGGCCGCCGGCTCGGGCGCCGAGGTCGCGCGCGCCTTCCGGTTTCGGGGGCGCTGGGGGTTCAAGATGGAGGACGAGGAGCCCGTCGCCCCCTGGGCGCCGCGCGCGGCTGGGGCGCCGCCCCGCTTGCGACCTCCGACCTGATCGCCGCCGGCCTTGCGGCCCCCACCTCCATTTAAGCGCTCCGTCGTGGATCGGCGCCCCCCGCGCGCGCGGGCCGTCCTCGCGCAGGGCGCCGCGCCAGGAAGACGGGCTCGCGGCGCGGAGCCGATGGGGGGAGATCGCGCGCGGGGCTTTCAGATGCCCGGCCACCGCTCGCGCCGGGGAGGCGCGGGCTCAGCTTCTCGGCTTCGCGCGGGCCTCCCGCGACCAGCGCGCGCGCGGCCTGCGCGTCGGCAGCTTGGGCGACAACATGGCGGCCCTCCTCAGCTTCGAGGAAGGGCGGGCACGGGGCCAGGCCCCCCTGCAGTTCTGTCGGGTGAGCGCGGCCCGCCAAAGCGGCTGCGAGATTGAGTGGAAGCGCGCTACATCGAGTCGGAGCGCAACCCCGCGGACCAGGATAGCCGCGTCGCCGAGCTGGGCCACGTGCATCCTGATCACCCGCAGCGGGGCTGCCGGCGAGCCCTGGAGGTCGCGGAGTCCGCCAACGACGAGTTAGCCCCGATGGGGCCCCCAGCCCGGCTGCGCCTGCCAGCCCCCTGCGGCCCCGCCGCTGGCCTCCGCCAGGCAGGCGGCAGCGCGGGCGGCGCGGGTCGGCACCTTCGCCAGGCGGATGCCAGCCAGGCCGCGCGAGCGGGCGCTGCAGATGGCCCACTTTCAGACGTGGAAGCGCCGCCCAGCGCGCTGCCGGAGGCGCCGCCGCCCCCCGAGCAGCCTCGGCATCGGTTGCCAGCTCTACGCGGGCACCGGCAGGCTCGCAGCAGCTGTCGGAGACAATCGATTGAATTCCACCCCTCACTTCGAGATTGAACATGGGGGCCACTTCGACCTTCATGATCACGCAGTTTTTCGCACCGTGTCGCGCTGGATCCGCCTCGGGAAGTTCTGGTACATGCGCTTCGGCACGCCGTGCATTTTCTGGTCTCTAGAGAGCCTCTAGCTTCGCGGTCTCATCGTTCCCCTCATCAGCATCAGGGACTGCAAGCGTCTCGCGTCACCCTTCGGCTCTTGTGACTTTGTCATCGTCATGGCGCGCATTGGTCTCTGGAGCGCCCGGTTGGACTCAAGCTCTTCAGCTGGGGACCCCTCGCGGATTTCATCGAGGCATTCGGGTCTGCCTGGGCCCTGCTACACAACTGCCAGTATAGTTGCACGTATAAGAAGCCAACCTACATCGCCTCTAGCCTCCCTGAGATCGTTCCGCTCGAGCGGGCGTGCCCCAGGGGCCATGGCCATGAGATCCTCCGAGGCAAGGTCACCATCGCGGCGCCGTCGGGCGCCACCCGCAGCCACTGGAAGATCATGTGTCCGTCAATAGTTCTGGGTCCCTGGACTACAGGTACCCGCCCGACTACATGCCCCCCCCCCCCCCGAACTACACCATGTAGATCCATCTATGTTTTTTAGTTCAGCTGCTTATTTAGTAGTCGGCCTTAAAGTTAGC